AGCATTGGCAGCAACAACAGTACTTATGAATACAGATAACACAACATTGGCACCAACAACAATACTTTTGAATACAGATAAAAAAAAGCATTGGCAGCAACAACAGTACTTATGAATACAGATAACACAACATTGGCACCAACAACAATACTTTTGAATACAGATAAAAAAAAGCATTGGCAGCAACAACAGTACTTATGAATACAGATAACACAACATTGGCAGCAACAACAGTACTTATGGATAGGGATAACACAACATTGGCAGCATCAACAATACTTATGGATACAAATAACACAACATTAACAGCAACAGCAGTACTTATGGATACAGATAACACAACATTGGCACCAACAACAATACTTATGAATACAGATAACACAACATTGGCAGCAACAACAGTACTAATGAATACAGATAACACAACATTGGCAGCAACAACAATACTTATGAATACAGATAACACAAAAAAGGCAGCAACAACAGTACTTATGAATACAGATAACAGAGCATTGGCAGCAACAACAATAGTTATGGATACAGATAACACAAAAATGGCAACAACAACAACGGTGAATCTGTATACAGATAACTCTTTTACCTATCTGAATATTTAAAAGATTTCGATTAACAAAAGTTTATGATCTGGATTAAATTGTAAAACAATTACTCTGTTATCAACAATCGTGTGATTAAAAAATATATTAATGTTTATTTTAAATTCTAATTAGTTGGTTTGATTTCAGCCAGAAGTCAATCATTCCTGCAGACGTAATGTCCCAAAACAAGATACGATAAATAAATTTCCAGTAATCCTAGTGTGAACTCGAAGTATGGTCCCTCAGAATATCTAACGACAAGAAAGATTTTTGACAGAGTGGACATTCGGCGAGTGGAAGGCAAACAATCCAGTGTCTATGGAACCGTTTCATTACGACGAATACTCAGAAGCAGGGATGTATCAGGAACCTGGTGCAGTGAATTTAAGTGGCAACAGCTGGTACTCTGACGATTCTGAAGGCACTTTATCTGTGTCACAACTTATTGTGATTGGTGCTCTATCTGTGTTGATCTTTTTGACGTTAGTAGGAAACACTTTGGTAATTGCTGCCGTCGCTACCACTCGACAGATGCGGACAGTGACTAATTATTTCGTAGTGTCCCTCGCTGTGACTGATCTGTTGGTGGGCCTACTCGTGCTCCCCCTGGCGGTCATCCAAGAGGTTCACCATTTCTGGCCTCTGGGGAGAGTCGTCTGCGAGTTCTGGATTTCTCTGGATGTGTTATTGTGTACAGCATCTATTCTAAGTCTCTGTTGTATCAGTTTGGATCGGTATTTCGCCATCACTGCCCCAATGACGTATGTTGTTAAACGGAGCTCCAAGTTGGCCCTGGTTATGATCTGCGGGGTGTGGGTGATGTCGGTACTGATAACATGCCCTCCTATATTTGGTTGGCGCGATTCGGATCGACAAAACGCTACAGAGTGTGTATACAACTCCAATAAGGGCTACGTCGTGTATTCCGCTCTGGGATCTTTCTATATCCCCGGTCTAGTCATGGTCTACGTCTACTCTAGAATCTTTGCAGTTGCTCGCAGAAGAGAGACAGTGCTGACGGCCTCCCAAGATGGAGACGTTCACAGGGACGCTTGCTCGATTGAAGATGAGCCAGCACAACCGACGCCAGAAGGGAAAAACGAAATCTACACTTTGACAGAGACCTTCTTCAATAGAAGACCTGGTGAAACTAACAAGAATTCTTCGCCTGAGAGCTACAAGAGATCTAAATCCCTACCGGTTTCAAACACTAAATCTTACCGAATAAGGTTAACTAGTCGTACCTCTAGCACAGGGAGCGACTCGAGAGCGTCCTCGAGATTCTCCAACAGATGGCGCGACAGAAATATTTCCTTCCGTGACATCAAGCGCAGATCAGGTTCTCGAGAAGACACCATCAAAAGACGACAAGGATACGAGCAAACGGCTTTTCAGCGAGAACGTCGAGTGGCCAAATCACTGTCTGTGGTCGTTGGGGGGTTTATCCTTTGCTGGCTCCCGTTTTTCACACTGTACATTATTAGACCGTTCTGCACCGGTTGTTCCATACCGCCAATCGTGGACTCCTGTCTCGTCTGGTTGGGGTGGTTGAATTCGGCTATCAACCCGTTCATTTATGCTCTCAAAAGCAACACTTATAAAAAAGCCTTTGCCCGGTTAACCATCGACAAACTTCGTCGGAGACCCAGACGTAAAAGTCGAAACGTGAAACATTTTTTGTGATTGTTTTGTCGAAAAAAAAAAAAGAAGCGTTTTCACATTCACGTTCTGTATACGTGTCTGTATACTTTAGAAAGATAATGTATACGGAGAAACTAAAAATACCAAACTTCTGTAACCAACTAATCAAATAAACTAGATTGGTTTAGGGTTAACGTCTGGAGTGAAATATTTCAGTTTCTCAATAATGCACAAATTTAAGGTTTGATTCCTGCGATAGCTAGAGTAGAGATAACTTAATTTTTAGTTTTGTAAGCAATAAGAAGCAAATGACAGAATTATTATGTGGGGCGGCGTTTCGGGCTCTTTACTAAACGTTTTCAGCTTAAAGACCGAAGCGTTAATCCCCACCCCCACCCCAATAAACAATGTGGGACAGTCCATTGCATATTTAAACCTTACAGTGACTAAAATACAAGTTAAACAAGCTTAGACTGGTGTATTTTGGAAATAGTAGTCCGCCACAATAAATAATAATACATTTAGTTAGCCTGAAATGGATCTCCCTAAATGCAGGTTTTATAGGTTAAATGCTGAATTTGACCTCTGCGTTAAAGCCCTCAGTGTTTGATATTTTCGTCGCAGTGGGCACAGCAGATAGCCCAATGTGACTTTCGGTATCAATGGTGTACCCAATCATTTTATTCTGACTTTAAGATGGAGTGATATTAGAATTTAACTGGAACGTTGGTTTTATGCGCACGTGAGCTAAATAGCCAAGTCAATGACCTCTGGGGTTCAGATACAGCCGTCCCTAATTTTAACTACTGACCAGAAAGAAGACAACTGCCAGCTGCCGCATAGGCATTGAGCGGCTCTTTACAGCACTTAACAGGACTGATTGTTACTTTTATAACGCGCTTGCTGCCGAAAGTGCGGAGAACGTTCAGTCTCGAAACCTAGATCCTTCGTCCCACATGGCGCGGCACTCTAGCACTAGGCAACACTTGGCCGCAACTAAGGTAAATAGCATTTTTAAATTTCACTCTGGTTTTATCATTATTTAACTGTTAACTGTTAACGTTTAAGAACAGAAGAAAGATAAAAATCTTCCGTAAAAGCCTAATCGTGTTAAGCGTTAAAATAAACATTAATGGCCCACTGATTGCTTTCCAATGAAGAGTAAATGAAACCTAAAACTGATAAAAAAAACCGTGGAAGACACTATAGAGATGAAATCACTTTTAGATAACTCAAGGAATGTCTAGCCAGAAGCCAAGTTTTTTTGTTTTTTTTTTTGTAAAGAAAGTCACTTTCTGATGATATTCGGAAGATTACGAGAATTTTCGCTGTGTTTGATGTTCCTGATCCGACAGTAAAATAACTATAATGTCTCGAAAAATATAACTTCCATTATGCATTCGTTCTTTAAGTAGACATTGTCGGAATTTTCAATCCTACGAGAGACACCTTATGCGACAAATTGGCTAAACGACCAGGTCAAAAGTGTTTAAGGTTAAGACGTAATGACCACAAACTTAGAACTGGTGACCGAGAAGGAGGTCAAAATCTCCTCTTAACCGAATAACGGGACCGACTGGCTGAGGTATGGTATCAACACAGATGAAAGCGCGTCGTATCAGGGCTCGAGCCTTGGACCTCCTGATCCATAGTCTAATAAGCTAACCACTAGGCCACGCTATAATTTATTGAATACGAGTTTTCAGAAATGAAATGGATAACAGTCAGGACTTAAACAGTAATCTTATCACACAACTTCAACTGAATGATGTCATTCGTGGGAGCTCCAAGATGGCGGTAGATGAAGTTACGAAAGTTAAAAACTGTCCAAATACTCGAATACAAAAGAAAAAAAATTGTTCCGAATGCAATGTTTGTGAACAACAACAACATCTTACTGAATGAAACACTCGCTACACACACACACACAAATATATATATATATATATATATACACTAAATGGATTTAATTTATATTCAAATTAATGTTCGTGGAGTCTACAAACAAATTCTATTGATAGGCAAACAATTTAGAAATAGAGAGGTTTCGGAAAACATTGTTAGCAGCATGAAACGATGTGTTGTAGCCTACCCTGCGTTAATTTCATTGAATGGGCTATCTGTGATCTGCCCACTGCAGGTATCGGAACCCGAATTTTAGCGTTGTAGGCTGTGAGACTTGTCCCTGAGCCACCGGGAGGCTAATATCATTATACGTCCACAATGATAGTGGCAAAGGTGTAGATAGTAAAAAATAGAACATTATAAATCAAAATTTACCCAAATAGCTTCTTAATAACGACAATTGTAAGCCTGAATGCACTCCTTCCATGCATGTGGAGTTGTGCCACAGATAATCGAAATCTGACTCTCGTATGGGGTTAAGGTGCAAGGTCCAAATTTTGCATACTATTGAATGGTCCAAAAGGTTAGTAGTTATTAAGACAAAAAAAACCTCCTGCACGAACATTGTTCTTTAGCTGTCCCCGAATCATCATAATATTTAGATGAAAAACAGTTCAACATGGTTCTTCTGATTGGATTGTTCTCAGGTCAGATTCTTCCTTCGCATCAGGTGATAAAAAACAAATGTGTGCTAGCGGCTGCGCACTATTGGCTCTTTTTTTTGTAAGACTGTTAGGATGTCTACGTCACCTGTATTCATACCTATAACTAATCACTCTGTGAAAAACAGTTCAACGTGGTCCTTCTGATTGGATTGTTCTCAGGTCAGATTCTTCCTTTGCATCAGCTGATAAAAAAAATGTGTGCTAGCGGCTGCGCACTATTGGCTCTTTTTTGTAAGACTGTTAGGATGTCTACGTCACCTGTATTCATACCTATAACTAATCACTCTGAGCAGTTTTATTAATTTTTCGGTTTAAAATGTTTCTTTTGTTACTAGTGGCTCAGTGGTAAGTCTGCAGGATTACGACGCCAAAATCCCCATTGGATAGCTTTGCACTTAACAACAATCAATCAATCAATGTTACTATCGACGGCTTCAGCAAATGATGACCTTGAATGACCCACAAACAATTGTTTTCCCATACCTCTCAATTTCTGAAATATTTGTCTCTCAGTGCACTTATGACTAACTCGGTATGTACACGTACTGTTCCACCTTTTCTGGTGTAAAGCTAAATTTCCATAGAAACACAAAGCTACGTTGACGAACATCTTTTATCTGCGATGCCCCGCCCACCGTAAACGCGATTTGAAAACAGGAAAATTCACGTTTAGTAAGACTAATATTTTCCTGATCATGATGGAAAAGTGAATGGTTTCAGTTTTGTTTACTGATGATAAACTTCAACAATTTCTAACAAGTGTAAGCTGGAATACAGTTTTATTTTCCGCTGGACGATCGTCGCTTAGTGGTTAGCGGGCCTGGAATGTGAGTCAGACGATTCATGGTTCGCGACCCGCTATCGAAATATTTCTCCACACACTCTAGAACCGTGGCTGCGCTATAAAAATACCGTATTTTTCGGAATATAAGACGCCCCCTTATTTTTGAAGACAAAGTTTTGGGGAAAACTTTACTAACTCCATTACTATAATTTATTTTATTATTATTTAGGGAGCATTATAAATAGTTATGTTTTTAAAAGAAAAAAATCTACTATGTGTATAAATAACACATTCAGTGGAACTAAACTATGCATGCCTATTTAAATATACTTACACATGGCTT